CTACGACGAGGTGGGGGGGGGGGGAGGCGTGGGGGAAGGGGGAGGGGGGGCGAGAGGGTGGGGGGGCGAGGGTGGGGGGGCATCGTAATCCTCGCGCAAGGACAAACTTCGCTACTAAGCCACTAGAGGCGCCCATGGATGTGATTCCAAAAGGCCACGACCGTGCAAGACACCACAAGTCAGGGGCATGTAACGGAGGAGACCTTCAGTGGCGGATCCATGGTGGGGGGGGGGGGCGGAGGGGGTGGGGGGCACCTCTCCTCCGCTATTTCCTCGACGCTGAAATCCAAACTTTTTTTGTGTGTGAAAATAAATTGCCATTGAAAAACAAAATCTTAACGTTTCACGACCTCCCCTAATCCCCCAACACCCTCCCCACTTTCGGAAGTTTCGAGATCCGCCTCTGGTAGCTTTTGGAAAGCGACTGACTGGTTCGTGTTGTTGTTGTTGGCTAGGGGCGCCATTGTTTGGGCCCCCGTTACTTCACCGCACCTCGCATTAGCACGGTTGGCTAAGGTACGGTGCGAAAGAAGTTCAAAGTTACATACCGTACCCTGTGGCGGCGGCGTCCCTCCGCTGCGGCGCGGAGAAATGTGTGCGGGTTTAGCTCTGTGGGAAAGGGTGGCAACCCTCACCACTCACCAAGGCACACACTCGCTCACCAACCAACTCACCCAGTCGCTCACCAAACGACTCACTCACCCACTCGCTCACCAATCAACTCACTCACCCACTCGCTCACAAATCAACTCACTCACCCACTCGCTCACCAACCAACTCACTCACCCACTCGCTCGCCAATCAACTCATTCACCCACTCACTCACCAACCAACTCATTCACTCATTCACCCACCCACTCGCTCACCAACCAACTCATTCACTCACTTACCAACCAATCCATTCACCCACCCACTCGCTCACCAACCAACTCACTGACCCACTCGCCCTCCCACCCACTCACTCACTAACCAACGTATTAATTCACTCATTCATTTTCCCAGTAACGCACCCACCCACTCACCGGCTCACTTACCATCCAATTCGTTCATTAACTCACAGAATCACTGACCCACTCATTCGTTCACTCATTCATGTACCAAGTCACGAGTAACTCACTCACCCACTCAACCACTAGAGTTGTATGTCCTCTACGTTCAACTTCTTTCGCAACGTTAATAGCCAGCCGTGCTAATCGGGGGCGTGAGTTGCCACCTGTCAAGAAATTTGCATCGGGTTTATGTACCGAGATGTGGTACCGGCATCGCTGCGTCGAACTTTATCGCCATTTACTGCAAGTTCTCGATAAGAGACCTCACGCCGGCTGAGAAATGTAAAACTACTGTTTTTTTTATTTTACCACTGAGCGATGTAGATATTTGTCAGAAAACTATAGCTCAACGAAGTGGCTCGTCGTCGTGTGAAAATTTACAGCAGCCGGACCCTCGAAACGCGTGATGTTGATTCTCAAATGTGGAGGGAAATCCCGGAGGACCCGGAGAAAAATCCACGAGATCACGGGCAGAAAGAGAGAGAGAGACGCACGCAAACTCCCAAATATACAGCAGCAGGCGTCAGGGTCGGGCTCGAACCCACGACCTCCTGTATACCAGGCGAGGTAGTCAACATCTCCTAGCCCCGAATCCGCGTGGGGTCCGTTCGGTCCGCAGGGGGGGGGATGGTGGCCAGACCCGAGATGGTGAAGCGTGACGGCGCTGCTGATGGGCACGATGTCACGTGAAGGGATGTTCATGGGAGCTGTAAGAGAGGAAGAGGTGGTGTGATGATGCTGATGGTGGGAGGGGATGGGTGGAGGGGGGGGTGAAGTGGAGGGGGGGCAGAGGGGGAAGGTCGTGGGGGATGTGTGGTGTTTACACACAGAGGGGGTGGCTCTCACACAGGAAGGATGCAGTGGGGATGTGTGGAACATGCAGGGATATACGAAGACAAAGATCCCCCGTGTAGCCTTAACAAACTTGTTAGGGCAAGTGCTGTTAGCGAGCAGCACCTGTGAAGGCTGGCACGGCACACGATAAGATGGGTGACCAGCACCACGCCAGGACGCCTTTGTCTCCCTAATGGCGATGCTTACACACCGCCCCAAGTACTCACTTGTGGCGGAGTCGACCTAGATGATGCCCAGGACCGGTTCAAATATTAACTCACAACAACAACCGCCATTTGTCACTAAGTGGCGGTGACGTCACCACGACGCTTGTGCCAGGCCATGTGCACCTTGAGGCCACGTGAAGTGTCGAACGCCTGCTGGCAGGAGGTCACGGGGCAAACCCAAGTGCCACGGGTCGACTGACTAAGATGACTGAGATGACTGGCTGATGCACCACCTGGGCCCCCTACTGTGCCAACCTGCTGTGCTTTAGGCACCAGGCGCTCCGCTCGTTGTTGTGAGCGTCGCTCTTCCGCCCTCCGTTGTTGTTGGAGGGCGACTGCCTCCAACTGCCCAGTAGCATCCTTCACGAGCCTCCTCCACACACACATACACACACACATACGTGTGTGTGTATGTGTGTGTATGTGTGTTGACTCAGCCTCAAATGAGTACCTGGTGCGGTGTGTAAACATTGCCACTAGGGAGACAAAGGCGGTCGGGAGTGGTGCTGGCCACCCACCCCCTCGTGTACCGATCCGGCCTTCATAGGTGCTCGCTAACATCACTTGCCCCTACAGTCTGTTAAGGCTATATGGGGGATCTTTGTCTTTGTATGTGTGTGTATGTGTCTGTATGTGTGTGTGTTAATATTTGAACCGGTCCTGGGCATCATCTAGGTCGACTCCGCCACAAGTGAGTACTTGGGGCGGTGTGTAAGCATCGCCATTAGGGAGACAAAGGCGGCCTGGCGTGGTGCTGGTCACCCATCCTATCGTGTGTGTGTGTGTGTTTTGAGCAGGTCTACTCAGCCTTAAAGAGCACCTGGTGCGGTGTGCAAATATTATAACTGGAGAGACAAAGGCGGCCGGGCGTGGCGTTGGCCACCCACCTCCTCGTGTGCCGATCCGGCCTTCATAGGTGCTCGCTAACAGCACTTGCCCCAAAAGCCCGCGTCGGCTACACGGGGGATCTTTATCTCTGCCCTCTGTGAGATTAAGACAAATGCCCCCCCCCCCCCCCCACCAACCACCACCCCCGCTAAACTCCCTCGCGCTCAGCGCCTCAGTAACTCCTTTGTGTGATTTTAGATTCTAAGAAGTTTCACCTCTAAGTCTCCGTGTGAGCGTGACCCTGAATTCCACCCCCCCCCCCCCCCCGATGCCCCCCCCCCCCCCCCCGCCGAGCCGAGATAAGCAGATCCTGGTTCCTTTTGAGACCTCGGAATGCGCAAGTGCTGCCCGGCGGTGGCTCTCAGAGGGCTCGCGCGTGATGGCCCTTTCCGAGATGCCTGAGCCAGAACCGACGAGGTTTTCTGCGTTTCGAATCCGGCTTATCAGACCCCGGGTGCCAAAGCCGCGTTTTAACGGGGCTGCCACGTGCGGCGAGGTGATGGTGCCCTGAGCCCGGTCACCAATGCAATGTATGCACAGCGACAACAACAACAACAACATCCATCGCGTTAAATTTGCTTCGACGCCGGATCCAGACCCACAAAAAAAATGACGGCTCTGAGATTCGAACATTGGTGTCAAACGTCGCCCCAGACGGAGCTTTTCTCTCGTACGGCGGAGCGGATGGGGAAGTGCTTCCCCCTGCCGCGTGTGTGTGGTCTGGTGGTGTGGACCAGAGCGCCACTTGAAGAAGACGAAGTAAAAAGGGATATCGGAGGTCGTTCTGCGGTGTCCGCTTCCGCGGGCCGTCCTCTAACGCGAAGGGTCGCGCCGCTGTGCGAGAGTACCGAGACGTCTGGCCGTCCTGGAAACGTAGGCCAAGTACAGCTGCTGTCCCCCTTTTTTTTACCAGAGGCCTCTTCCACAAGCAGTTGCAGGGCTGCGCCTTTGCTTAATTTGGCTAAATCCTCAGCTCTTGAGAGTTACTGCAGGGATGAGCCACTTCGTTTAGCTATCATTTGTGGCCAGGTCGCTTCTGAAAAAAAGAAACCAATAGCCCAGTTGGGTCTTACCTGGTAAGATAAAAAAAAAGTTTAGTTTTACTTGTACATTTTTTGTTCAAGTTATTTATTTACCTTTCCTATTAGATTTGCACTCCTATCGTGCTTTTGCATTATTGTTGTACCGTTCTGACGTCGTGCCCATACTGGAGATAGAATGAAGATTGATTGACATGAGACTAACACATTCCTGCGGAGGGAGCTGGTCGGAACGTTGGGTTGCTGGGTTAATGGCCAGGGTCAACGGCGGCGTGGTGCATTCCGCAAATATGCCCGACTATGAGGGCGGGCACAAGCCGGCGTGAGTAGGTTAAACGTTGAGTTTTATAAGGGCACCACGGGGTGACCAGCCACTCCCCACCCAGCACCACCCCTCCCACCCCCCACCCAGCCCCACCCTCCCCACCCAGCTTCCCCTCCCCACCCAGCCCCTCCCTCCCCACCCAGCCCCTCCCTCCCCATCCAGCCCCTCCCCACCCTCCCCTCTCCACCCAGCCCTCCCATTTTTGGATGCACGACGGACGGACACAATAATCCCCTGTGGGCTGGTGGTGTAACCAGGAGGTTCCTACCAGTAACACCTCTGTAGCACGGGGCTTTGTGATGAGACGCACCACCACCACCACCCAGTGTGGCTAAGGGGCAATTGAAAGCGTCGCAAGAAGTCGTTCCGTGACGTCAGCTACCTTCAGAAGCCGTTCTCTGTTGTGTCTTCTCGTCTGCGGTTGTGTCTTGTTGATGTTGCGTCTTATTGTCTGTGGTTGTGTTCCATTGTTCACTGCTGTGTCTTGTTGCGTGTTGCTGTGTACTGTTCTTGTTGTGTTTTATTGTTTGTTTGTTGTGTGTCACTGTTGTGTTGTTGCGATCTTATTGTTTGTTGCTAATTGTGTCTCGTTCTTTGACGTTGATTCTCATTGTTCGACGTTGTTGTTGTTGTTCAGGTGATACAGTCTTCCAGATGGCCGAGGTTCACCGGCAGATTCAGATCCAGATGGAGGAAGCGGTGAGTGTCCATCGTGAGCATCAGCCGGGCGGCGGCAGTGGCCACGCTGCTGCACGCGGATTTCAGCCCGTAGTCCAGCACTGCTGTGGAGGCGGCAGCAGCGGGGCGAGGGGGTTGGTGGATCACCGCACAGACACTGCGAAAACTCCCTGGCTCGCCTGGAGAAGGCGGCAACAGCGAAGTGCAGACTGACATCATCTGGCCCAGTTCGTGCGGGTAGATCGAGTGTTTCCCCCTCGCATTTGTTGACAGCGCCCGCTCACCGTCCGGCTGCCTTCCAGCTTGCCGGTGGTTCCTCGCCGATGTTGAGATGCTATGTGCGCGAAAGATTACGCCGTATGAAACTAGACGTCGTTTATTATTTAATTTATTTTCATCGCCAAGTTCACGCGTCATCGCGAGCGGCGGCGGCGGCGGCAGCAGCAGACGTCGTCGTCAGTGTCATCATCAACAGCAGAACCAAGAACATCAATATATCATCGACGGCAGAATCATAAACGCCATCGACGGCGGTTGTGATCATCATCATCACCACCTTTAACACCACATCATCATCATCGTCGTCGTCATCATAAACAGTATCAGCCGATTTGTTGAATCGCGATGAACATGATAAACAAAGAATCCATTTGTGAACTCAACTGCGATCAGGAATTATTGAATCCATCAAAGCACTATGCTGAGAAAAGGGCCAAGTCACCAGAATCATCATCACCATGACCTCATCATGACCACATCATTACCTCATCATGACCACATTGTGACCTCATCATGACCACATAATAACCTCATCATGACCACAGCGTGACCAAATCATGACCTCATCATGACCATATAATGACCTCATCATGACCACATCGTGGCCACGTCATGACCAAATCATGACCTCATCATGACCACAACCAGATCGACATCACCACGATGACATCACAGCCACATCATGCACACCACCCTCACCACCACCCTCGCCCCTACTCTCACCCAGGCCAACTCACTCTGACTTCTCACCCTGACATCCCACCCACTTGCCCTGACCTCCCGCCAAACTTACCGTGACCTCTCATCTCTTGACCTCTTGCCCGTAATCAGATCAAATCTCTGCACATGGAGCTGCTGTCACAGCTGGAGCAGAAGTTGGATCAGGATGTCAAGTACGTGAGTGTAAGTAGATGCACGAGTGAGCACACGAGTGTGTGGGTTATGGCGTGTGTGTGTGGGTTATCATGTGTGTGTGGGTTATCATGTGTGTGTGGGTTATCATGTGTGTGTGGGTTATCGTGTGTGTGTGGGTTATCGTGTGTGTGTGTTATCGTGTGTGTGTGTGGGTTATCGTGTGTGTGTGGGTTATCGTGTGTGTGTGTGTGGGTTATCGTGTGTGTGGGTTATCGTGTGTGTGTGGGTTATCGTGTGTGTGTTATCGTTTGTGTGTGTGTGTGAGTTATCGTGTTTGTGTGTGGGTTATCGTGTGTGTGTGGGGATTATCCTGTGTGTGTGTGTGTGGCTCGTTGCCTTCTCCCCCGTGGCCGCGTGCAGCTGACGCTCAAGCGGTTCCAGGTGGAGCACCGCGCGCACTCCGACGGCGTGGAGAAGGTGAGGGCCGAACTGAAGCGCGTGAGCAAGAAGAGCAGCAAGAACCCGGGAAAGTATCGAGAAAGGGAGTCAAAGGTAAGGGGAGACACCCAGCCCCAGGCCATGATAAAAAAAACCCCGAATCGAACCCCTAACCCCACCCCCCCCCCACCCCGTTTCTGATCGCTTAAACCGAAAGCCGTGAATCTCAAACGCTAAACTCTGGCCCTGGTCTGAACCCAAAGATTCACACGAACCCCAACACGAACCCTAACCCTGACCACAACAAGAACCTCAACACTAAGCCCCTTTCATAACCCTAACCCCAGCGCTAACCACAAATCGAACCCCAACGCCAACGTGAACCACAACACTCTCTCCAACACACTGAACCATTTCCTAAACCCAACATTACCGTACTCCTAATCCCGACACTAAAACCCAACCCTAACCCTAACCCAAGTCTGTTCAAGGCTACGTGCGGGGGGAATATTTTGTCTGCGTGTGTTGCACCCATAGGGGGCCGTCCATAAATGACGTCACGCACCTGGGGGGGGGAGGGGGGTCAGACATTTGTGACGTCACATCACAATGCGCAACTTTAAATGAATATAGACAACACGTTCTAACTTAATTAAATAGACTTTTTAATAAATGTTTTCTCCTACAACATCAGAGTGCAGCGCCACATTAAATACGCATTACAATGCCAATCGTTTAAAGCGATTTGAAGCATGTTTTATTTTGGGGGGGGGCAGAGCTTTGTAACGTCATATTTGAGGGGGGATCTGACTTTTTGCGGGGGGGGGGGGGGAGGTCAAAAATCGTCCAAAATCGCGAGACGTCATTTATGGACGGGCCCCATAGGTGCTGAGCCACATGCAGATGCGCCATGGGGAGCTGCAGCAGTTCGTGAGCGACGGCTACCGCAACGCGCTGGTGGAGGAGCGCCGTCGCTACTGCTTCCTCGTGGACCGCCAGTGCGCCGTCACGCAGGTGTTCGCCCAGTATCACGGCAAGGTACCGCCGCTCGCAACAACAGCAACAACAACAACCGGAATAACTGCGCTCGCAAACACCAATGATTATCGTGGCAAGGGTTGGCGCGGGAGCAGCTACCACACCCGCAACAACAACACTCGCAAACGCAATAATCGCGGAAAGGTGGTACGAGCAACTACCACACCAACAACCACAACATTCGCAAACTCAATAATCGTGGCAAGGCACCGCGAGCAAGAACCACACCAACAACCACGACGACAACAACACTCCCAAACGTAATAATCATGGCAAGGTGGCACGAGCAACAACCACAACAGCAACCGCAACACTCACAAACTCAATAATCATGGCGACAACACCAGCTGCTCCACCTGCAGCCAAATGCATCCTCCTCCTCCCCCACCTCTTCTTCCTCCCCCACCTCCTCCTGCAGTCCAAGGAGCTGATGACCCACAAGATGGCCTCGTGGCAGACCTGCTGCCTGAGCGCCTCCACGCTGCCCCCCCGCGTCTCCGTGCTGATGCAGAAGCTGGAGGGCCCTCCGGCCGACGGCCCCGGGGAGACGGACGACCCCCGCGCGGCCTCCTCGTCCGCGACGAGTCCGGGGGGGTGGCGGTGGGGAGGCCCCCCCGCCGGGGCCACCGCCCCCGTTCATCTCGGCCCCCGTGCCCATCGAGGCGGCGCTGCCCGTGCCGCCAGAGTTGGCGCCCTTCGTCACTGGCGCGCGGGTAAACGGGGGCAGGGGTTAAATTTTGATTTGAAGCTTTCGTGACCGCAGGGATTCATATTCTTGGTTCTTTCGGTAAAGTCACCACGTTAGAAGGGAAACAATAAAATAATGAAAATATAAAACAATAAAATTCTCACGACGTTTCGACTGCGACACAAGCATTCATCATCAGGTGTGAAAACCACGGCAAGAATTTTTTTTCAAATTTTTTTTCAAATTTTCTTGCTGTGGTTTTCACACCTGATGATGATTGCTTGTGTTGCAGTCGAAACGTCGTGATAATTTTGTTGTTTTATATTTTTATTATTTTATTGTTTCCCTTCTATGTGACTTTACCGAAAGAACCAAGAATATAGGGGGCAAGGATGTCGTTAATTGGGTGCCACGGTGGCTAAGAGATGTTAACTCCCTCGCCTGGTATGCAGAAGGTCGTGGGTTCGATCCCGACCCTGCCGCCTGCTGTATATTTGCAGTTTGTGTGTCTCTGTCTCTCTCTCTCCCCGTGGTCACGTGGATTTTTACTCCACATTTAGAATCAACGTCATGCGTTTAAGGTATTTGGTTACTGGTATAAATGTCAACGTTGTGAGCAATTTAGTTGAGGTATCATTTGTGACCAGGTCTCTTCTTAAAAACTTCTCTCGAGCTCAGTGAGCCTTATCTGGTTAAATCAAAATATAGTTAAATAGTTAGTGAATTGGTCATCGCAATCCTAGCGTTGTTGGTGTTGTGAGGAGTGGAAGTGTAGCGGTGAACGCACTGCGCGAGGAGGTGGGTGGCCACCACTACGCCCGGCCGCCTTTGTTTCTCCAGTGGCGATGTTTACACATCGCACCAGGTCCTCATTCGTGAGTCGACCTAGGGGAGGCCTAGACACGATTCAAATAAACGTCACCGGTGTTGGCCGTGAGCGGGAATTGAACTCGGGTCGCTGGGTTTGTAGCCCAGCGTGCTAACCATTGCGCTACCGCCCCCCATAATATTGTCGTTATATTCATAACCACCACCACGACCACCACGACAACCATCACTGCAATCGCTACCTCTTAGATAACCCGCTACTACCACCAGCGGCAAAGACAGCATCACGCCCGGCCACCTTTGTAGTACTGACGTTTGCACGTCATCATCATCATCATCATTTTATATTCATTACCACCATCCTCATCGCTGCCACGGCCCCAGCTGCTCTCCCCGGCCGCAAAAGGTGCTCGCTAATGCCGGCCCGCTCGCTCGCTCGCTAACACCCGCTCCCTCTCGCCACGCTCCTCGCCCTCCCTCCGACCCTACCCAGAGGCCCGAGCCGCGGCCCGCGATGCGCCGCGAGCTCCCGGCGGTGCCCAACGGCGGCATCCCGGCGGCCGTGACGGCGCACGCCAGGGGGGGCTCCATCGGGGGGGGCTCCCTCGGGGGGGGCTCGAGCAGCGGCTCCGCCGGCTCCGTCGAGGAGGAGGTGGGGGTCCCGGGCAGGGGCCGCGCCGGGACCGGGGACCGGCGGGCACCTCCGAGGGCGACGACCAATCAGGGGGGGCCCCAGCAGCAGGGGCCCGACCTGCAGTACCGCACGCTGCCCGCCAAGCGCACGCCCACCGGCAGCATCGGCAGCGCCGCCGGCGGCGGCGGCGGCGGCGTCGGCAGAACAGGCGAGAGCGGGCAAAGTGCCTCTCCTCCGTCGCCCATCCTGTCCCTAATCTCCGTCGCTCATTCCCTCGCTCTTCTCTGCTGCGTGCGATCCCCTCCGACCGGTTGCTTCGTGCGGTGTGTGGGGGGTCGGTGGACCGCGCAGGGAGCGCCGTGGCGGCCGGCGGGCCACAGCTGGCACGGTCCAGCTCGGCGTCGGCGGGCCTGGACTCAGTGGGGGACGGCGGCGGCGGCGGCGGCGGCGGCGCCGTGGGGATGCAGGTGGAGGCTCTGTTCCAGCACGTGGCCGGCGCGCAGGAGGGCACGCTGCTGAGCTTCGACGTGGGCGACGTGATCACGATGCTGGCGCCGCAGCCGCAGGACGGCTGGCAGTACGGGGAGAACGTGCACACGGGCAGGTGGGGTCCGCCGTCGTCGGCGTCATCGTCATCGCCAACCATCCGAGTCGCGTCATCAACGTTGATTGTCGTCACCGTAGTCGTCCTCATCGTCGTCATCATCGCCGTCAGCTTTGCTGTCGTTGCTGTCGCCGCCGCCGCCGCCGCCGCCGTCGTTGTCATCGTCAAAGTCGCTCCTGCTATCGTAATCATCATCATTGTCATCTTTATCGTCGTCGTCGTCGTCGTCATCCTCGCTGTCATCATCATCACCGTTGCTCAAAGTCACCGTTGCTGAGAACTGGTGAGGGGACATCATCGCCATCATCGTCGCCACCATCATCGTCGCCACCATCATCGTCGTTGTTCACCGAGCATCGGCTGTTGAGGCATCTGCACTCGCCGCAAAGGCAAACCTTACCCGTGATCGTCCCATTGTTACGGTGCAGTGGATGGACTGGGCCCGGTCATAGAAACGTAGCGACGCACGCCTGTCCTCCGCCCTGTCCCCCCCGCAGGCGCGGCTGGTTCCCCGTGACGTACACGCGCCCGCTGGATGCGGATGACGACGCCCACTCCAGGTGAGAACCCTTCGCCCCTCGCGGCTCCGGGGGGACCCCAGAGGGACCGAGTGGATGGCGGCAGCGTCCCGCGTTAAGCCGCTCAACGGGAACACGCCGGGGAGCCCGGGGGGGGGGGCAGCCCCTCCCTCAGCCACGCCCACGTTTACGCGGCCACGCCCGCTTTTACGCGGCCACGCCCACTCAACCGCTATCCTCGCCTGTTTACAAACGAGTGCAATGGCCAACCGCGCTGCATCCGCTTGATGTTCCCGTGACTAACTTTTGATGAGTGTGCCGTCGGATGGCAGCAGTCTGCCCGAGCGGACCCGCACGACGGGGTGTGGGTGGAATTCACTATCTAACATCGACTCACGTTCGCGTGGCCAATCGTTCGAGCGTTTTCTTTTTTCCCCGTCGCGATTTCTATCCCGCTGACGCAGCGGTTCTCCTTTACCTGGGGTGCACGCACGGGGGTGCGAGATTCCCTTTACCGCGCACGAATTGTGCTTCACGAGTGTAATGACATGATGACACCTGCTGGCTGGGAAAGGGAAGCACGGGTACGGGCACCGCTAAGACAACAACCAATCCGGAAGGGAGAGAGAGGTTTCTGGGGCAAAGGTCAAAGGCGGGGTTGGCCGAGATGCTCCGGGAACCTGCCCGAAGGTTCCACGAGAGGGCGTGGCCGGAGGCGGAGCCTAGCCACGCCTGGGGGGATATAAGCGGGGGCGGACCCGGGGCTCGGGGCTCGCGTGTGGCTTCTGGGGCCCTGGCTGCGTCGCTGCTCGCCGACATCTCTCTCCGTCGTCCGGCCACGTGGAAGATCTCCTGCGGGGCTTCCATCGCCGTCATGCCGCCAGCCAGCGGCGTGGCCGAGTGAGGGCGGTGGGACCACGCCGAGTGATCGGCCGTGTGTAGCCAGCAGAGACGTTAATGTCTAAGCGTTGTACTCAGAGTGAGAAGGATAAGGTTTGCCTGTGTTGTGCCCAGTGTAAGAAATAACATAAGAAGTACCCTCTACACGACGTGTCACAGAAGTCGCTCATTACAGGGTAAAGTTTGATTTGATTTGCAGTAAAGGTTAAAAACCACTGCCCTAACACTTCGATGTGCCGCGACCCCCCCCCACACCCCCCCCCCCCCCGCTTGCCCGCTGTACCTCCGCGTCCGCCTTCAGCCACGGGGAGCCTGACACCCTGAGCAGCGCCGGCAGCTACCACGAGGGCGGGGAGCTTCCTCTGCCCTCCACCGATTACTTTGCCGCCTCGCCCTACGACCCGGAATCCAAGGTGAGAGAGGCAACGCCGTTCAGGGGGTCAACGTTAACGAGCGGAGGCAAAGACCTTGGGTCAAGTGTTGTCAGCGAGCTCCTGTAAAGGTCAACGCAGGGCACGGGTGGAGTGTTGTGGCCGTAAAAACAAACAAAAAACACGCCCGGCCGTCTTTGTCTCCCCAGTGCTGACGCTTTTACACATCACTCCGGGTATTAATTTTAAGGCTGAGTCGACCTGGGGGGAGGACCAGGATCGGTTCAGATAATCGTCACTGGCGTTGGTGGCCGTGAGCGGGAATCGAACTCGGCTCGCCGGGTTCATAGTACAGCGTGGCGCTAACCGCTGCACTACCGCTCCCCAAACACTCCCCCCAAAGACAAAAACAAAGATCCCCCGTATAGCCTTAACAGATTGTAGGGGCAAGTGCTGTTAGCGAGCACCTATGAAGGCCGGAACGGCACACGAGGGGGTGAGTGGCCAGCACCACGCCGGGCCGCCTTTGTACACAATAATTTGAGGCTGAGTCGACCTAGGCGAGGCCCAGTACCGGTTAGGATAATCGTCACCGGTGTTGGTCGTGAACGGGAATCAAACTCGCGTCACCGGCTTCGTCGCGCAGCGCACTAACCGCTGCACTTCCACTCCCCACACACACACACACAAACAAAGATCCCCCATATAGCCTGTAACAGACTGTAGGGGCAAGTGCTGTTGGCGAGCACCTATGAAGGCCAGAACGGTACACGAGGGGGTGGGTGGCCAGCACCACGCCCGACCACCTTTGTCTCCCTAGTGGCGATGTTTACACACCGCACCAGGTACTCATTTGAGGCTGAGTCGACCTAGGGGAGGCCCGGGACCGGTTCAGATAATCGTCACTGGTGTTGGCCGTGAGCGGGAATCGAACCCGGGTCGCCAGGTTCATAGCGCAGCGCGCTAACCGCTACACTACCGCTCCCCACAAACACACACACAGACACACGTGCAGGTCGAGTGCCGCCGATGACTCTCGCCGCGTGTGTCGCACTTCTTGCTCGTGATGCAAGTGAAGGCGACCAAACCGCAGACCCTTCCAGGAAATTGACGTCAAAAATAACGGGATGCAATTGAACTCTCTCGAACTTCCCGAAATCCGCAGCGGCAAACAAAAACACGCAGCCGTTGCCCGAGCTGCTCCCCGCGGGTTCACTCCCGCACATCATCTCCGCGGGCGTTAGACAACATGAGCAGCGGTGGGTTGTCAAGCGAAAGTCGCTGGCACCCGCCATGGGAGTGTGGAGTTTCCACCACCGGCTCAGGGCCCGTTACGTGTGCGGGGAGCGGTGGCGCAGTGGTTACTGGACTGCGCCACGAAATCCGACGAAGGGAGTTTCATTTCCCGCTCACGGCCACCCACGCCAGTGATGATTATCTGAAACGGTACTGGCCCTCCCCTAGGTCGATTAAGCCTCAAATGAGTACCTGGTGCGGTGTGTAAACATCGCTGGTCGAGAGGCAAAGGCGGCTGGGGCGCGGTGCTGGCCACCCACCCCCCTGGTGTGCCGTGCCGGCCATGATAGATGCTCCTCGCTAACGGCACTTGCCCCAACCGCGTGCCAAAGGCTACACGGGGGATCTTTGTCCTAGTATGGACAGTGTGCGTATGAGCGACGGGCAGGAAATCACTGTAACGGTGCCACCAGGCATATCTGACGAGCCCTTTGGCAGTCGCGTGGACAAGGCTACACATTGCTGATCATCTCTAGTTTTGGCGGTGACCCTTGTACCTGTCCCCCTCTCCCCCTTCTCGTGTCTCCACCAGGAGGAGGATTCAAGCGACTCTGCCTTGAGGTGAGATGGACGCATGAGCGGACAACTCCCTGGGATTTGGAGATGAGTTTATTAGTTTATGACCGTGGAGCAAGCGCTGTTTGCGAGCATCTATTAAGGCCAGTAGGGGTGAACAGGGAGGTGATGTAGCCAAGACCACGCCTGGCCGCCTTTGTCTCCCCCATGCTGGTGTTTCACACACCATACCAGACACTCACGTCGGGCTGAGTTGACCTAGGAGAGGCCCAGGACCGCTTCAGGTATTCGCCACTGATGATAGCCGTGGGTGGACACCATACTCGGGTGGACGGGTTTGTTAGCACAGTGCGCTAACCGCAGTGCCACTACTCCACTGCATGCGCTGTATGTGGGCGTGGTCAGTGCCGGATGAAGCTCGTGTGGGGCCTGTAGCATATGTTACGAAGGGGCCCTAAATTATATTAAAAAAAACACGTAAATATTAAAACACACATTTTTAACTTGCACAGTAAAGTAATTGTATTTTTTTAATTTTCTATACAACCAGATAACAACGACAAATCGCTCACCTTAAACACCCGGTCGTTAATAAAAGTTGAAGGCGGTATAGTACTATAGTAATAGAGCAAGCGCAGAATCACTGAACCGGAATTGATAGCTTGAAAGCGTTTAGCGCGGGGCCCTTGAAAGTGCGGGGCCCGTAGCTGCATATGCAGCTACTTGTGCTACTAGGATAATCCGGCACAAGTAGCTACATATGTAGCTGCTACATACGTTGTAGCTACTTGTGCTGCTGGGATAATCCGGCACAAGTAGCTACATATGTAGCTGCTACATATGTTGTAGCTACTTGTGCTACTGGGATCATCCGGCACTGGGCGTGGTGCTGGCCGCTGATTCCCTCGCGTACCTTTCCGCCCTTCACAGGAGCTAATAGCACTTGCCCCAACAACCTGTTACAGGCTACACGGGTGACCTTTGTCTTTGTTTTTTGTGTGCGTGCAGGGAAAATCCTTTCTACAGCATTCATCTCAAAGCAACGGTCACGAATGATCGTTCAGCACCACACATGTGACCGGGTGGCCGGCTGCGTTTCCTACGAACACAACAAGACTAGTACACACAGCCATGTGCATCGTTTAAACACACAAAGACAAAGATCCCCCGGTTAGCCTTGACAGACTGTTGGGGCAAGTACCGTTCGCGTGAATACACAAAGATCCTCCGTATAGCCTTAACATACTGTTGAGCCAAGTGCCGTTAGCGTAAATACACAAAGACAAAGATCCCCCGTATAGCCTTCAACACATTGTTGGGGCAAGTACCGTTAGCATAAATACACAAAGACAAAGATCCCCCGTATAGCCTTCAACACATTGTTGGGGCAAGTGCTGTTAGCAAGCACTTATGAAGGCCGGTATGGCACAAGAGGGGGTTGTGTGGCCAACATCACGCCCGGCCGCCTTCGTCTCCCCAGTGGCAATTTTGACACATCGCACCAGGTACTCATTTGAGGCTGAGTCAACCTAGGGGAGGCCCACGACTGGTTCAGATAATCGTCACCGGTGTTGGCCGTGAGCGGGAATCGAACCCGTGTCGCCAGGTTCGTGGCACAGCGTGCTCACCACTGCGCCACCGCTCTCCGCAAAGACGAAGACATGCAACACACACGTGCATGAAGAAATCAACAAAGATCCCCGTATAGCCTTCAACAGGCTGTGAGGGCACGTTCTGTTAGCGAGCACCTATGAAGGCTGGCACGGCACACGGGAGTGATGGGTGGCCAGCACCACGTCCAACTGCCTATGTATAAAGGCAAAGACAAAGATCCCCAGCAAAGCCTGAATAGACTGCGTCTATGAAGGCCGGCACGACCTATATACACACACACAGGCGAGAGCAGGAAGAGTGCTGACCTTCAGGCCACAGTGTGGAGGATAGCATCACACCAACAAGGAGGGTAGCGTCACACCAACAAGGAGGGTAGTGTCACACCAACGAGGAGGGTAGCGTCACACCAACAACGAGGAGGGTAGCGTCACACCAACGAGGAGGGTAGCGTCACACCAACAAGGAGGGTAGCGTCACACCAACGAGGGTATCGTCACACTAACGAGGGTAACGTCACACCAACGAGGAGGATAGCGTCACACCAACAAGGAGGGTAGCGTCACACCAACGAGGGTATCGTCACACCAACGAGGGTAACGTCACACCAACAAGGAGGGTAGCATCACACCAACGAGGAGGGTAGCGTCACACCAACGAGGAGGGTAACGTCACACCAACAAGGAGGGTAGCGTCACACCAACGAGGAGGGTAGCGTCACACCAGCGAGGAGGGTAGCGTCACACCAACGAGGAGGGTAGCGTCACACCAGCGAGAAGCGTAGCGTCACACCAACGAGGAGGGTAGCGTCACACCAACGAGGAGGGTAGCGTCACACCAGCGAGGAGGGTAGCGTCACACCAGCGAGGAGGGTAGCGTCACACCAACGAGGAGGGTAGCGTCACACCAACGAGGAGGGTAGCATCACACCAGCGAGGAGAGTAGCGTCACACCAACGAGGAGGGTAGCGTCACACCAACGAGGAGGGTAGCGTCACACCAACGAGGAGGGTAGCGTCACACCAGCGAGAAGCGTAGCGTCACACCAACGAGGAGGGTAGCGTCACACCAACGAGGAGGGTAGCATCACACCAGCGAGGAGGGTAGCATCACACCAACGAGGAGGGTAGCGTCACACCAACGAGGAGGGTAGCGTCACACCAACGAGGATGGTAGCGTCACACCAACGAGGAGGGGTGTCGCGACCTCCTTTCAGCAGGAGCGACACCGCCAGTAGCCCCGACTGAAGCTCAACCTCGGTCAATAAGAGGACAGCCACTGCCTCTACCGAAACCTCAACCCTAACACGAGCCATCGCCACATGCCTACCCTTCGCCTAAACCCCAACTATACCCCTAGTCCTAACCCCCAACCCCATCCCTAATACCTAATTCCATCCCTAACTCCATTCTTAGCTTCATCCCGTACCCAAGGCCAAATCCAGAACCTTAACCCCGAATCCCATTACCGAACGAACAATCTTTGCGGGTTTTTTTCTTCACAACCCCCTGCAATTAATCCGGGCAGTTTCCATTTCTATCGAGAATTTTCCTCACAACCCAAGGTTCGACGTGGACGAACCGCGCGTATTCTACATTTTTTTCACTATTTTTTATTTTACCAGACGAGGCACCGCTGAGCCTGTGTAGTTCAGAAGCGGCCCGGTTGTCACAACTGATAGCTCAACGATGTGGCTTATCATCGCGTGGAAATTTATAGCAGCCAAATAAAATCTACAGGCGTCGTCAGGATCGGGATCAAACCCACGACCTCCTGTATACCAGGCGAGGTAGTTAACATCTCCTAGCCACCGCGGTGTATGGACGCGACCTTCCGGACAGAGAATTTCGCTGATTTTTGCTTTTCATTAAAACCTTCGCCGTGTACGTGTGTGCGTGCGCGTGCGCGTGTAATTTAGGACGTAATATAAAGCACGTGTGAATGTACGCACATACACGCGCGTGTGCATTAATACAATATATGTTTAGCGTTGTGAAAGTTGCGTTTTGATGGATAAGTGTTCACTCACACGCCCCTCTGTCAATCCCCCCCCCCCCCTTTGCCTTGGGTCAGGGGCGTCGTTTGACCATACTTCACCGCGCTGGTTATTGCGGATTCTTAAAACAAAAGGGGTGAAGGCGCAGCCCTGCAATTGCTCGCCCACGCCACTGTTGGCAGAAAGTGCCTTTCAGAGGAAGCTCTAGAGAGCACCCTCATCCCGGCCCCTCTGGAGGGTAGTTGGCCTACTCTTCCACGCTGGCCGAGATGTCTTGGAAGAGGTTGCGGATTTGTTAACAGCTCGAAATGCACAGGCGACTCATATATTGTGGCTACCTAGAAATACACACACCGTGTCCGCTGGGCTGTCGGGCACACGTTCAAAGCTTTGTTCATGGGAGGGGGGGGGAAAAATACTTTAAAGTTACGGTCAGGAACACTGCAGTAAAGTCATTGGGCGTCATCGATCGACTGCCGTTTAAGAGACACGGGGGCTATTTTCCTGAGAACCAAACTCTCTGTCCCAGTTTTTGTTAAGTTTCGGGAAGTGACGCCGATTACACTCAGTGGAGTCCAGACAGCCGTAGTCGTAGTGCTGCGCGTGTGAGCTTCGTGTGAAGGGGCCTACTCGACTTCGGTTGCACTACTGCACGCGCGTGTCCATTGTGAGCAGCTAATATCTCTCTCTCTCTCTCTGCCCGCTTCTTGGGAAAGTCCACGTTACTGTGACGGGGACCTGGATATCCACTGCACAACCACTCAAGGCTCGACTGTAGCAAGCGGCTGTAAGCTCTGTCCAGGGCCGATACTAAATTGACCGACCCCGGTGGGATGATTGATGATGATGATGATGACGCCAGTAATATTGAAAATGATTAAAGTAATGATAGTAACGATGACAAAGGCGACTAAAGCAACAATGCGGTGATGGTGAAAATTATTGGGATGCTGATATCAATGATCATGATAGCGATGGTGGTGACAATGATTATAATAACACTGCCAATGATGATGGCTGGTGCCTGAAAGTGATTCGGTAAATGACAGTGGTGGTGATGATGGCCGTAATGATACCAATGATGATTATGACAATAATGATAGTCGTGATGTCGACTATAACAAATGTATGAATCGCGACGATGTAATTTAATGATGACGATGATCGTTATGCCAATGATCAGCGGCGATCACATGGATGATTATAATGATGGCAAGTGATTTTTTTTTTTAAAATGATTGTGCTTATGACAGATAACAATGATAATTATATAAATGGTGATGATGATTGTTATCGTGATAGGACTGACTATCCCAGGGCCATGCCTCTCACAATCAATGGCCTTCCTGTATCCAGTACAGTATTATGATTATTCAACACAGTATACAGCTGCAGTCTCAGAAGACACAGAGCGTTTCTGTAAAGCTCTTAGCAATGCTATACCGAGTCGGAGCGGTTTTTTTTCTATTACGCTTAAGAGTCGACGGCTTTGCGCAAGTGCTGTCATTTCGCTTCGAGCTTTGTGCGTGCGTGTGAGCACCGTGCCAGCGAGCAGAGGTTGTGAGTGCCCTGCCTCCCCCGGCCCCCCAATATAAGAGCGCTTTGCTTGCATTTTTAAAGTAGAGCGGAAATGGGGAGCGCGGATGAGCGGAATTACGGGATCATTGCGACGGTCAGTCCACCTTCCTACGCCCACTTCGGGGTCATTGAGAGTTGTTTTGACCATACTTCACCATCATGCTATTGGTCAGTTGATGAGAAAGAAGCCCCCCCCCCCCACCACTGCGCAAGGAGACGTGTGGGATGTTGTGATGGATTGTTTTTGTTCCCTTCAATGATTGTGTGGACTATCGTCTTTTAGAGGATCAGTAAAAGTGTTTTTAAAGTCTTCTTGGTTCTTTCGGTAAAGTCACGTAGAATGGACATAACATAATAAAAAATAAAATAATAAAATTCTCACGACGTTTCGGCCACAACACAAGTGGTCCTTCTTCAGGTGAAGAAACAGGTCTGTCTCGAAGACAGGGCTTGAATGAACGCTGTCAAGCAAGGACCGCGTCTTTTAACCTGTGTGGACGGAGTTAACATATGAATTAGCATGTTACCAGCCCCACCTCCGGAGCAGAGGAGGGAAGTGTTGGTCATCTTCTTCTCATCTCTCCGGTGTGATCGCTAGTATTTTTTTGTTTGCTTTAGTGTTGTTAAATTTAAAATGAGTAATATTTTTTTTAAACACGCTTTTATGAAATGTACTAGTAATGGAAGAACTCCACGACTCTAGGAAGTGGCCCCGAAGCTTGCCATAACGTAAGGGCACCGTGGCAAATTACAGCTAACGTCAGTTGACCGTGGACAATTAGGCCCAAGCCGACAACACACCATATAAAAAATAATGTATAAAAATATAGATTTTTGTTTATGATAGAATATAGTATTGTCATCAGTATGACATAAGTATACCAAGTTTGCAGTCGATACCACATTGGGAAGTGGGTTTAAATTGAGTTACAAGATTTGAGGATACAACGACAACAACAGAGTTCAATGAAAACGTGGTAAAAACAAAATAAAATATATTTTTAAAAACTTTTTTTTAAAACACGCTTTTATGTATCTCTTCCGCCATTGGTTGTAATCCCTATTACTGCCATCGGCTTCGACT